TGCACACCAGCAGGAGTGAGGTGTGGATGGGTGAAACCCTAGACATTCACCATAGCTCAGTGTGACAGTGGAGGCTGCCAGCACAGGAATCAGACTGACAAGCCCCCTTGCTACTCTGCTCTTTTTCTATAATGACATTTAATGAATGATCCATACTCATGAAAATTAGCCAAACAGCAATTTTACAAATAAAAGAGTTGGGGTCTTTTCTGAGCATTTTCTGCTGACCTAGACAAGGCATGTGTGGTCAGTTTGTCTGCCTGATCCAGGCCTGTGCTGCAGTGGGAGCAGGTAGCTGTCACCCACCCAGCCAAGACTATGTTTGCCAAAGGCATTGGTGGGAATTGCCACCCTTTGGGCCATGGAACTGAGCATTTAGGAACTATGGAGGGTATCCAGCCCAACTCTTTGCTTTTACCTCTAAGGAAACAAGCTCCAAACCCCAAGGCCAGCTGGTGGCCAGCTTGGCTGAGAACTCACCTGCCTCTCAGAGCAAAGTGTGCACACCTGTCTTTGACCCAGCACTTCCACTTCTACAGACCTATCATCTGGAAATACTTTTGCCTGTAAATAGGCAATATATGGATGTTTGTTGCAGTGTATTTTAAACTAAGTGAAAAATTGGAAACCTCCACTTTTTTGTTAGTCTACCTTGGGGACTGGATTAAACCAATTAATGATGTACCAAATCATGGACTATGCAACCACGAAGAAGACAAGCATGTAACTCTAAAGTACAACCAACTCCATTATGGACTGAGTAAAAAATTGTAGAACAATCTTTCCAGCGTGATCCAGCTCTACAAGAACAAATTTCCCGATGTTCAGGAGCGGAGCTGCCTGTGTTGTACACCCTGGCTACCTGGGGTTGCTGCACACCTGAGATGTGGCTAGGGTGAATTGAGACATGTTGTGAGATGCCACGCTAGTGTTCACTCTGACACGGGAGCTGAAAATGAGGTGTGTGGCAGGATTTCAAAGACGGAACAACAACAAAAAAAGACAAAAAGTACCTCATCGGGGCTGGGCACGGTAGCTCATGCCTGCCATCCTAGTACTTTGGGAGGCCAAGGCAGGAGGATCACGAGGTAGGGATTCGAAACCAGCCAATAAGGTGAAATCCTATCTCTACTAAAAATACAAAAATTAGACGGATGTGGTGACAGGCACCTGTAATACCAGCTACTCGGGAGGCTGAGGCAGGAGATTCGCTTGAAACTGGAAGGCAGAGGTTACAGTGAGCTAAGATTGTGCCACTGCACTCCAGCCTGGCAATAGAGTGAGACTCCGTGTCCAAAAAAAAAAAACCCAAAAAACAAAAAAAAAACAAATGGAAAAACCTCCTCAGTACGTTTTTGGTATTGACTACATGTTGAAACAATATTTTAGATATATTGAGTTAAATGAATTGTATAATTAAAGTTAATTTCACCTATTTGTTTTTACTTTTTTTAAAAAGTGGCTACTACACAGTTTGAAATTATTTCTATGGTGCATGTGCTATTTCTATTAGGCAGCAGAGGTCTAAAATAATACACATCAGGCTAGTCGCAGTGGCTCATGCCTGTAATCCTAGCATTTTGGGAGGCTGAGGCAGACAAATCACCTGAGATTAGGAGTTTGAGACCAGCCTGGTCAACATGGCGGAGTCTCGTCTCTGCTAAAAATACAAAAACAAGCTGGGCGCAGTGGTGGGCGCCTGTAATCCCAGCTACTCGGCAGGAAAATCGCTTGAACCTGGGAGATGAAGGTTGCAGTGAACTGAGATCACGCCATTGCACTCCAGCCTGGGCAAGAGTAAGACTCTGCCTCAAAAAAACAACAACAAAAAAAAAAAAAGAAGAAGAAACATCAAACACTAAGCATAGTCCGCAGCACAGTAGAGTGGGAATCAAGAGGAGTGTGTAAGCAGGACTTCACTCGGCTCTTCTGCGGGGCTTTACAACTTTATATATTCATGTAGTATGCTTTTTAATGATTAACAAACAAAAAAAGGCACTGTGGCCGTGATTCCTGAGCAGCAAGCTTTCCACCTCACCATGTCTGCAGAATTTGCCTGCTCTTGTGTCCTGTCTCCAGGAGATCCAGGGCCACCTGCCATGAGGATTACCTACCTTAAGGCATTTCAGGCACTGCTCACCCTGGGAGAGCGGACACAGGTTGGAGAAGCTGTGTTGGAGGAGGAGGCTACCTGCGCTTGCCACTTCCATGGCGGGGGTAGACTGCTATGGGGGGAGGAAGCCTGGAGCAGGAAGCCGGAAGTCGGAAGCCGGAAGCCGGAAGCGGTGAGGGAGAGGACAAGGTGCACAGCAACCGGAAGGCCTCGGCAGCTGCGGAGGGATGTGCTGTGGCCTAATGTGAACTTGTTTTGTTTTAAAGTCGTCTCTAGCGTTGTAAATGCATTTTTCCCCATTTGGCAATTGAAGATACAGTTTCTGAAAAGCAGTGAGATAGATACTAACAGGTGCTTTCTACATGAGGCTGGGAAAATTGCTCCTGGCATGATGGGCATCTGGGTAATGGACCAATCTGTTTCCTGGACCCTGCCTGCCCCCAGTGGATGCTGTAATTCCTTCACGCCTTGCTAAGTCTAACCTCAGAGCTTGCAAAAGAGGAGAATGGCAAGTACTGACCCATCCCTTGCGTTTGCATATCACTGAAGGCAACATGTCTCTGGCTACTGTCTGTTTAATGGAAGTTTTAAGACGTTGAATCCCCTTAACCTCTAGGTCACGGAAGGCTTGGGGGCATTAGGTCCTCTTATTCCCCTGGCTGAGGGCTTCCATTTTCCCAGACCCAGCCTTTACGCACATACCACACACACAAATTATAGGACATCTTCCAAACATTTTCAACCAAAGCCAATTTTCTAAAAACATCTGCTTCCCCCAGTAAGAGGATTTTAGGTTGATAGAAAATCTGTTTTGTTTTCACTTAGTTCAGAATGAAGATGACTCGCATCTTAAAATGCCTGAGTGTCGTTTCACTTCTTGTGCTTGTCAACTTTACAAAGCAAATAAATGAGGTTGCACAGAACCAGACCAAACACAACTCCCAACTTTTCCCAGAAAATACGCAATAAAGCAGAAACAGTTACAGCAAACACATCCAACATGAGTTGATATTTCCAATTACATTTTCTGGGGCCTAAAAAAATACACTGCAGAGAATAGCCAACTTATGCTATAAACATAATTGCAAATGCCGTGAATTAAAACTGCTGCTGGACAGTTCAAAACAATGGTGTGTTGAGAACATTACCAAAGACAGTCTTTCCCAAAATCAGACCTGTATTCATCAAGCACACTCAGAGAGAGGCAGGGCTCCGTTCTTAATTCCTCCCTAAATGTCTGATTCTGACAGAGAAAATGTGTCTCATCTTCCTTCTCCATTCTCGGTTCCTATCCCTTGTCAACCCAAACACAATTCCTGCAAATATTTTCTTTTCTTTTCTTTTTTTTTTTTTTTTTGAGACAGAGTCTCGCTCCATCGCCAGCCTGGAGTACAGTGGCGCAATCCTGGCTCACTGCAACCTGTGCACCCCAGGTTCAAGAGATTCCCCTGCCTCAGCCTCCTGAGTAGCTGTAACTACAGGCGTGCGCTACCACGCCTGTGGTAATTTTTGTATTTTTAGTAGAGGCGGTTTCACCATGTTGGCCAGGATGGTCTCTATCTCTTGACTTCATGATCTGCCTGCCTCGGCCTCCAAAAGTGCTGGGATTACAGGTGTGAGCCACCACTCCCAGCCCTGCAAATATTTGCATTGCCCCCTTCCTCCCCTATTACTCTTGCTAACTTTTGCTACAGTTTTAAAAAACATACACATTGTACACATGCACAAAAATAATCACATGTACCCCCAAAATATGTACAGCTATGATGTAACAATAAAAAGTGCGAAAGATATATTTTATGGGATAAAAGGAAAATGAATTTGTGATAGAAAATGATTAAAGAAGCAGAAAAATTTAGAAATGTACAAAGGAATAAAGAAACACCACCCATAAGGCCTCCATTCTAAAACGACTGACATTTCAGTGTATTTCTAGGCTTTTTCTATGAATAGATTAGACACGTGTGCGTAATGAAAAACATGATAATTCTGCATGGTTATTATGCCTTTTTCTCTGTCTTTTTAAAAGTGCCTGCATGATGTTTCATCCCATGGACAGATCATGATTTATGTGTCCAGCCCTCTGCTTCTGGGCATTTGGATTGTTTGCTATGCTTCGTGGTAGCAGGCGATGCTGTGTAACTGTTGGCATCCCTTCAGGATTCTCTCCTGAAGAGGGGTTCCTAGGTGTGGACTTTCGGGGCTTTGCCACATGTTGCTGAACTGCCTTCCAGAAACCAGTTGGCACTCCTCCCAGCATGAGAGGGAGTAATAATCTCCCCTCCTGACGCTGTTCCGTGTAACCATGGAACACATGGCTGTTCCATCTCTTCCACAAGGCTTTCACAGGTAAGATATCAGCTGATAAAGGCTTACGAGTATGAGCCGTGTCTCTCCTAGAACTTCAGCATTTTCTGGGGCTCTAAGGAAGGTGCACCTTTTCCCCCAAGCAAAGTGAGATGCTAAGGAATGACAGGCAAGAGGCAGATCCCTGGCACGTGTATTTAGAAGCTGGCCCTCAGGGAGGCTCAGAGGGTTTCAGCCTCTCTGTGACTGGCTGACAGAGTGCTTGTCCCCTCTGCGAATCAACCTGGTGGGTCCCTTCTGCTGAGAGAGCCTCTTGGAACCCAGGGTGAGCACGGGTTCACCAGCTGCTCACATACAGTCCTGTCCAGCAGCCTCAGGAGCAGGGGACCAACAGGCCCCAGAAAGCACACCTGAGCTTGCCTGCACCTGACCTTACTTGAACCAGAGCCTACCAGCACCTGAGCGTACCTGCACCTGCGTTTGCCCATGCTTGCGTTTACCCACACCTGAGCTTACCCGCACCTGAGGATATCTGCACCTGCGCTCACTTGCGCCTGTGCTTACCCGCGTCTGAGCTTACCTGCCACAGCAGTGGAACAGAGAGGGCCCTACCCAGGCTCCTCCAGCCTCCGGGTTGGCCAAGACAGGGAGCTGGGAGAGGAGGGCCCGCCCTTTAAGAGGAGCAGTCCCCATGAGGATCATGTGAGCACTTGGGCCTGGGCCCTCATGATCCTTGTGAGGTGATGGCCCCGTGACCTGGCTCCCAGGCCAGAAAAGGAAGCCAGGGCCCAAGCTTCCAGGCTGTGCTGTGTGGAATCCCACAAAGGCAGCCTTGGGATCTGAGAGAGGTGGGGGAGCTAGAGCCTTTGAAGTGGCCCATCCATGTCCTCCTCCCACCCAGCCAGCCCCTCCCCAGCTGAAAATGTCAGCAGGGTTTGCATAATCGAGACAATTGGACATAATCGTTCTTTCAGAAGCCCCTCATCAGCGGCAGTGATCTTGCCCCGGGGAGCCAGCAGAAGGGGGCACATGGCATTAATTACTGCTAATCCTTCTTCAATTCATCTGAGGTTGGGCCTGAGGTCAGGATGAACCCAGCTGCAAATGCAGTGTGAGCCCCACATGACTCTCAGCCCCTTCTGGGTGCTTCTGATCCCCGCTCTCCCCACTTCACCAGCAGCGTGCCTGCCCAGTATCCACAGTCACCTGAAAACCACAGTGGTGGGAGCTTTGTTGGATTTGTTGAAACAGTATGCATGGCTATTCCAGCTTTCCATGAGCGTTCTCAGCCCAGTAGGAAAGAAAAAACCCAAACCTTGAACTATCCCTCTCTGCAGAGGGGCTGGGTCTTCCCCAGCATCTGTGAGGCTCTTGGACATCCGCCACTTCCCCCTTCTCACAGGAGCAGACAGGCTGGACCCAAGGGCAATGAGGGGTGTTCCCATCTTACAGAGGAGGACTCTGAGCCATGCGAGAGGGTGGCTTGCCCAGAGAGCAACTCGGGTGGAGCAGGAGTGCCCAGGTTGTCATGTTCGGCCCATATGTAGAGTCCAGACACTGGAGGCTGGGCTCACTCCCCTACCCCAAGCCTGGCAGACACCTGGGGCTCAGGGAAGTCTCTGAACTTCTGATGGAAGCACATGTGCCAGGCCATCTTCTGGGTCTGTCTTTGCTTTCATTAGCTTCTCTTGGGATCTGTCCCCACAGAGTGGGCGTGCAGAGAGTCGAAAGAGCAGCTCCCACATGCTTTGCTGGAGCGCCCACAGCCCTGGGACGCACAGGGTCCACAGCGGTAGTCCTGGCCTCGCTCCTGGGTCTTCTTTCTTGAGCTGGTGTTGGCTCTTGAGACCTGAGAGAGTCTCAGCTTCAGAGGGAGCCCTTCCAGGGACTGAGGGAGGGTGCAAGGTGGCCAGAATTCTAATGGCACAGTCAGAGCAATCCCGGACATCTGAAATCAGTCTTGGAGCAATGGGGAAAGGCCACATGAGGAAGTCAGCCGATGGCGAGCACTGCCACGGCTGGGAGGTGTGGAGGCTCTGTGGTTAGTGCCAGTGACCAGCCCCAACCTGGCCGGCTGCCCATCAGTGGCTCTCCAGGCAGTGGGCCCTTCACTAGACAAATAGGCACTTTTTCAGGTTCAGATAAGACGGAAAAAATGAGCCCCAATCTTCCCCAAGAGACCACCCGTCTTCCCCAGGGTCCATGCAGTGGGTCCTGCAACTGGGAGCTGAGATGTCCCACATAATGGCCACAAGCCACGCATGGCTACGGAGCACTGGAAACGAAGCCAGTCGGAATTGAGATGTGCTCTGAAATAAAATATACACAGGATTGCCAAGACTTGTGATAATAATTCATTACACATTGAAATATTTAGAACGGCTGGGCACAGCAGCTCACACCTGTAATCCCAGCACTTTGGGAGGCTGAGGTGGGCTGATCACCTGAGGTTGGGAGTTCAAGACCAGCCCGACCAACATAGAGAAACCCTGTCTTTACTAAAAATACAAACTTAGCCAGGTGGGGTGGCACATGCCTGTAATCCCAGCTACTTGGGAGGCTGAGGCAGGAGAATTGCTTGAACCCAGGAGGTGGAGGTTGTGGTGAGCCAGGATCATCATGCCATTGCACTCCAGCCTGGGCAACAAGAGTGAAACTCCATCTCAAAAAAACAAAAACAAAAGCAAAAAAACCCCAAAATATTTAGAACATATTGGGTTGGATAGAATGTTACTAGTTTTTTTCACCTGCTTCTATTTACTTTTCAAAACCGACTACTAGAAAATTTAAAATCGGCCAGGTGTAGTGGCTCATGTTTGTAATTCCAGCACTTTGAGAGGCTGAAGCAGGCAGATCACCTGAGGTCAGGAGTTCAAGACCATCCTGGTTAACATGGTGAAACCCCCATCTCTACTAAAAATACAAAAATTAACCAGGCGTGATGGTGTGCATCTGTAATCCCAGCTACTTGGGAGGCTGAGGCAGGAGAATCCTTGAATCCGGGAGGCAGACGTTGCAGTGAGCTTAGATCATGCCACTGCACTGCATCCTGGGCAACAGAGTGAGACTCTGTCTCCAAAAAAAAAAAAAAAAAAGAAAAGAAAATTTGAAGTTGCCTCTAGTCTGTGGCTCACAGCTGTGGCTCACCTCGTATTCTGCTGGGTGGCAATGAGCTGCAGGTGTCGGGGAGGGGGCCCACCCTCCAGAGGCATCCTCCCCCACGAAGTCACCTGGATGACCTGGTGCATGGACAGCATGTGTGAGGACTGTGGAAAGACGTTGTAAGAGCTGAGACTTATTCTGAGGAAACAAGAACCCCACTATGAAGGGTGAATACTGACCACTCACTCCTCGCCCAGCTACAGGGGCAGGGTCCTTCTTGACATGGGTGAGGAATGAGGATACATTCCTCAGAGGGAATAAGAGGCCAGCTGGCAATCACAGTTGGTGAGAGTGTCGGGACGGTGACCTGTGTGCTCACCTGTGCGGGGCCCTGAGGAGGTTGTGGGAGGTCCCCAGGCTGGCAGGGGACCCCCAGGTAGAGGCCCAAGGGTCCTGGTTGGACTCAGACAAGACGGCAATGTTGTTTCTCATGCTGCTTCATTCCCTGCATTTCCTGACCCATAGTTATGTCTCAAAACCTGTCCAATTCAAAGTGGACTTTTGTGACAAACCCTTTGGTGGTGGTGTATCCTCCCATCCAGAGACATCCCTTTTGCCATGTCATTGGACTTTGATGATGACTGTCTAGGACCATGATATCCCTAGGACTTGCAAAATGGTGATCTTCTCATAAGGTCGACTCTTCTTTATTTGTTAGCTAGATTCATTCATAAAGAGAAACTTCCCTGGGCAGATTGGGTCGCCCTGAGGCACGGTTTGCAGAGGAAAGGCAGGAAAAAGGTTTCTGTCTCCAGAGGACTCAGCTGCTTCTCTGGCCTCATTCCAGTGTGACTAATGCATTCCTTTTCTTCAGAGTGTCAGTATGAATTCATGGATTTGAACATATTTAAAATCTTTGGTGTTGTTGTAAAAGATAATTACAAAAATAAACAAATGGATAACTGGATTAGGCAAAGACATGGAGGTCTATCAATGCTTTTGATTACCATCAACTCTGCTTCCATTTCTCCACTCACTGACAAAAAAATAAAGTAGGTTCCCCACTTGGACGAAAATAAGATCCTCAAACATTTGGAACATGGGTCTTGGAAATGCCTCTCTTTTTCTGGAAGGCAGAGGGTCTTCCTGGTGAGCCTTAAGCTCCAAGTTGGCCAAAATATGCTGGCCGTTCTCCATAGGCTGCCCAGCCTTGTCAACAGGTGAACGTTGGTAGCGGCCTTTTCACACCACTCTTCACCCCATAGCTCAGGGTTCAGGGAGTGAGAGTTCCTGAGGCCCCTCTGTTGCTCCTCATCTTCCATTGGAGGACACAGGCCCGTGAGGACTGGCCATGGAGGTATCAGTGGGAGGATTGAAATTGGACAATGACTCCCTGTCTGATTGTAAGAACCTTCTTTTCATTTTTTCTTTTTCTTCTCTCCTTTATCTTTTTCTTTCTTTCCTTTCTCTTTTCCGTTCTCCTTCCTTTCTCTCCTCTGTCCTTCTTTCCTCCCTTCTTTCCTTCCTTCCTTCCTTTGTTCCTCCCTCCCTTCTCTCCTCCCTTCTCTTCTTCCTTCCTCCCTCCCTTCCTCCCTCCCTCCCTTCCTTCCTTCCCTCCTTTCCTCTCTCCCTTCCTCCCTTCCTTCCTTCCCTCCCTCCCTTTCTTCCTCCCTCCCTCCCTTTCTTCCTTCCCTCCTTCCCTCCCTCCCTTCCTCCCTCCCTTCCTTCCTCTCTTCCTCCCTCCCTTCCTCCCTCCCTCCCTTTCTTCCTTCCCTCCTTCCCTCCCTCCCTTCCTCCCTCCCTTCCTTCCTCCCTTCCTCCCTCCCTTCCTTCCTCTCTTCCTCCCTCCCTTCCTCTCTTCCTCCCTCCCTTCCTTCCTTCCTTCCCTCCCTCCCTTCCTCCCTCCCTCTCTTCCTTCCTTCCTTCCCTCCCTCCCTCTCTCCCTCCCTCTCTCCCTTCCTTCCTTCCTGTCCTCCTTCCCTCCCTCCCTCCCTTCCTTCCGTCCTGTTCTGTCTGTTCTGTCTGTCTTTTTTTTCTGCTCCTCAGTGGGTTGTGTTGCAATGCTGGCAGATGATGTGTGCTAGAATAACAAACACATGGGTTTAAAAAAACCTACCAAACATTCAATGTTTTTTTTTTTTTAATCTTCAGAGTACCCCCTACAATGAAAATAAAACTAGTGACTTTGTGGTGGAGATAATCCATTGTGTTACAGCCTCTTAGCTGTAAACCCGGTGTGGCTGTGGAGATTGGTCCTGGATCCTGCCATGAGACGTTGCAGCTGGAGCTTCTGGAAGTTCCAGGGAGAGAGCATTATCTGAGCTGGTTTTCCTTCTCACCAGACTCCTGACATCTCATTAATCCGCAACTCCACCAACTGCATGTAAGACGCCCCAGTGCGTCACTGTGCTGGCATCCCTTCGAGTCTGAGTGTAATGTTCTGCCCTCTGCTGGGACCTGATGGAGTACTTGCAAATCCCAAGCACCATGGCTAATGCTTCTCAAGTCTTTACTCTGGATTGACGGCAAAACTCCCAATATGTGGGTCCAATTACATAGAAGTTGATTTGACCTTTTCTTCTTTCAAGATGTCCGTGTTCCTGAGAAGAAATCTGGGCAGGAATAGTGGCGAGAGATGATTTTGCCTTAACGTGACTTCAAGTTTCTTTTGTTGATAGCAGCAGACTGCACAAGAACAGGATCTTTGGGGGACAAAATGATGGGCCAGAGCCCCATG